TTCACCATGTTGACCAGGATGGTCTCGATCTCTTGACCTCGTGATCCACCCGCCTCAGCCTCCCAAAGTGCTGGGATTACAGGCTTGAGCCACCGCGCCCGGCTGGAAATGATCTATTCTTACAAATGACCGCAGGTGTGCTGCTTGATACAACACCCTTTATTTATTTATTTATTTATTTATTTATTTATTTATTTAGAGACGAGTTCTCCCTCTGACATCCAGGCTGGAGGGAGCATAGTGCTGCAATTACGGCTCACTGCAGCCTTGACTGCCCTGGGCTTAAGTGACTCTCCTACCTCAGCCTCCCAGGTAGCTAGGACCACAGGTGCATGCCACCGCCTGCAGCTAATTTATTTCCATTATTATTAATTTATAGAGATGAGTTCTCCCTATGTTGCCCAAGCTGGTCTGCAATTCCTGGGTTCAAGTGATCCTCCCACCTCCCAAATTGTTGGGATTACAGATATGAACCACCAAACCCAGCCACAACACCCATTTACTCTCATACCACTGAAGTCCCTAAGTCAGCAAGCACGGCTTGGTACTCCACTTAGGGTCTCATAAGGTCAACATCAAATTTTTGTCTACCTTCAGCTTATATCGGGAGATCTGGGAAAATCCACTTCCAGGCTCATTTTGTTGACACAGTTTCCATCAAGCCCTTTCCATTGTCAAACCAGCAACAGTGGGTTGAGTCCTTCTCATGCTTAGAATCTCTCTCACTTCTCCTGCTGCATCTCTGTGATGCATGTCAGAGAAAGCTCTCTGCTTTTTAGGGCTTAAGTGTTTAGATTGGGCCACTTGGGTAATCCAGCATAATATTCCTAGTTTAAGGTCCATAATTTAAATTACATCTGCAGAATACCCTTTTGCCATGTAATGAAACACAGTTATGGGTTCCAAGGATTAGGGCAGGGCCATCTCTTTGAGGGACCATTCTGCTGACCACACATCGTCATGTTTCTGTAAAATTAGCAAGAGTGATTTTTTTGGTCTTCTTTTGTATCAGATTCTCCACGCTTCTCTTAATTGAAGACTATGTTTTTCAAGCTATGGTTCATCATTGTTGCTTTACTTACAAAATGAATTTGAATGGCAATCATCAGTTTATTAAGGAATATAGTAAATTTAATTACATAAAAAAGTGGAAAATATCAGAGACTATATAGTTATTGTACATAACTATTTACATTCCATGAAATTGTTAGTATACACACACATCTCTGAACTAGGTCAGGACATAAGTATACATAGTATACTTGGTTAAAATTAAAATATTTTGAAAAGACCATTTAAGGAAATGATCCTAGAATTCATCTGGAGCCTCCAGTTAGGCCTGTCCCTGTCCCAGGAAGGCTTAGAGCTCCTGGGGGAGAGAGAGCGAGTCCCCTGGTGAGAGGTTCAGGCTGAGGGAAGCCCGAGCCCCGGCAGTTCCCTCTGACCCTCCACCCCACATATGGAGAATGGAAGGCTCACCCGTGTTGTCTCACTTTTTTCCCTTTTAGGTATGTCTAGAAGTCAGTTTGGACAGGGGCAGAAACCTCTAGACATGTTTTTCTGGGTGAACGAGATAAGTGGAGAAATCACCTACCCCCCGCAGAAGGCAGATGCACCTGCGGTTTCTCCTGAGAGACCTCAAGAGAAGCCCCCATCTCAGCCCAGGAGTGTGCAGGGGGCTCCTTGCAGTCCCCAGGGCCCACCTGCACAGAGGCCTGCCCCTGCACCTCCACCTAAGGCTTCTCTGAAACACTCAGGTGCAAGAAACCCCCACCCATCCGCACCGACCTGGGGCCAGGCCAAAGCCGGAGGAGGGAGGAGCCCCCCACGGTTCTCAGCAATCCCTGTCACCATCTCATCACCAGGAGGGACTCTGCCCATACTCGGGCCCCTGGGACCAGCCCCTCAGCCACCGGTCTCCACCTTTCCTGTCAGCCCTTCTGCCCACTAGGCCTTCACCTACAAGCTGAAAAATGTCCCTACTAAAAATAACTGGTTTTCGCTTTGAATCTTAAGAGAATTTGGTCACGGTCTTTAATCACCTTCCTGAGCCACCTGTGGGCAGAGCGGCCCCACTTGTACACCAGGCTCTGCAGGCCCCATCTGCCTTCCCCGGAAGCGCAGGCCTCACCCCAGGGGTCTCACAGAAATGCCCAGTGCTTTCAAGTCCAATACAATTTTACTTCCATTTTGACATAATGTTCTCTAGAGCTTCCTTTCCTTTCCTTTAAAATAGCAAGCTGTCCTGGTATTTCACTCAATTCTTTGGGCTTCTGACGTTGGTGTCAAAGCAATATGCTTAGTTTCCAGCCAGAGCCTGGGGACCTTCTTGGGTGGGGATGGAAACGAGCCAGGATGACTGGGACCTGCAGGCCCAGGGTCCCTGGGGCCCAGCCTCGGGTTTCCAGGCTTGGGGACAGCTCTCAGGGCAGGGAGTGCATGGGGTCCTGCAGGAAGCTCCCTTCTCAGGCAGCCTGAGGCTGGAGGAAGCCAGCAGGGGACACCGCCCTTTTAGGCAGAGTCACTCCCTTCCCCAGCTCTGTGCTTTCTCTGGGCACTGCCTCTCGGCCCTCCAGGCGTGGAGTGACTCAGGCATTGTGGGAAGTGGCCCCCTCACAGACCTGGTCCTCCTGGATCAGGCTGGCCAAGGGCTGCAGGAAGCCCCAGGGTGCAGGAGTGCGTCTTGGAGGAAGGACAGGCTTGGCCTGGGCACACAGAGTGACCTGGTTTGAGGAGGAGCTGCTGGAGAAGCTACTGGTGTCCCTGAACAGGTGCCAGGTGGCTCCAAGTTGTACCAGAGCAGCTCCAGGTGAAATGTGTCATCAGGATGGACTATGAGTAAGAGGAGTGGCGCACGCAGAGCATCGTCAGGTCAGAAGCTGAAGCACAGCCTGGCCGGCACCTCGGCGCCTTAGCCAGACTTGCAGCACGTTCTCGGCTTTGCCAGTGGGGCACTGTGCCCAGCCACATGGAGCTTGAGGTGCTGGGTGTCAAGGAAGTGGACTTCCAAGGGCAAGGAAGAGCAGAGCTACCCAAAAGAGGAGAGCTACCCAAAAGAGGAGCTCCCGGCTCATGGGTGTCTAACCACGGAGTCCTGGTGGAGAAACACCTCCTCTGCCCCTCAGCAGACTGCACCAGTCCAGCCCTGGAGTCATCACACCCAGGTGCCTCCCAGGTCTCATCTGATTCTTGGTCGGACCCAGGCCTCCAGGGCCCTTCATCCTAGGTGGGGCAGGTCAGAGGTCAAAGGTTAGGGTGGCTCTGTGTCTCTTTCTGACTAGGGCTTCCAAGTTATTCCAGGAAATGGGCCCATGGAGGACCCTGACCTTTCTGAGAGTTCTCTGAGCTGGGGGCATGGGCCTGGGGTCCAGTCTCAAGTCAGCCACTATGTCCTATGACTGCGACAGGATTCTGCCTATCTTGGCCTCATTCTCCCTCCCTGCACAGTATGGGAGTGAGCGAGCCAGTCTGTCAAGCCTGCAACCTACAGTCTGTGACAAAACACTGGGAAAAAGAGATGGCATGGAGGTCAGGCCCAGGCTGGGGTCAGCTATCGTGAGCCTGGCTGCTTCTGAGGGTGGCAGAGGCCCTGCCCATCAGCTCCACAGTGGGGTGGGTGCTCTGCCCTTGGGCCATCAGCTCAACAGGGGGGTGGGAGGACTGGCGGGCACTCCCTGTGCCCCTTGCAGGGAGGCCTTAATGAAGTCCTTGGTGTCACTGCTGGTGGTGCTCCAGGACATCCACCTGTGCATGGCAATGCAGCAGGGAACAATGGAGAGCAGGCCAGGCTGGAGGGCAGAGGGAGGGCCAGAGCCTGCAAGGTCATCTGGACCCTGGGCCTTGGAGGGAAAAGTTGCCAAGGCAGGGGCTGTGGGTCTCTTGGGCAAGTGACTGGGACCAGGGCCTCCAATCCTAGAGCCCCAGCAAGTGTCATAGAGGCGCCCAGAGAGATACAAGCCCAGCCTGCAGCAGGAATCTGAGTTCACCCTGCAGTGGGGATCAGGGCTCAGTGTACACCAGCAGAGTCCCCAGGGCAACAGATCCCCTGCACAAGCCACCCAGAGCCCTTTTGGGACAGCATGGCTTGGTGCTCTTCCCTGGGGCCTGGCAGGGCCCCTTCTGCTGACAGAGGATATATGAAAATATGTGGGCAGCAGTTTCCACCCATTTCCAAGACAGTTATCAGTTTGAGCTCTCAGGGTCTCTAATCTGGAAAGGCAACTGGCAGTGGACGTGGCCCCCTTCACGTGGGCTTGATGCCCTGTGTTGGATGACAAGGGCCTTGCAGTTAATAAAATCAGTAACTTCACCCCAGGCTAGGATATGTGTGTGTGTGCTAGAGAGGGGGTAGAGGAGATGGAAGTGGGATGAGTAGGGATCTGTGAGTGATCTTATTCTTCCACTTTCTGAAAGATGAGGAGACTGAGGGTAAGACTGGAGAGACCCTTTAATCACACAACTGTGAAGAAAGGGGCTATTTGGTCATGGAATGCACATTCTGTCCTCAGTGGTAGGAGGAGTGGGAATTGGAGGGGATCTTGGGAAGTGTCCTTGGGGATCATAGACCATAGAGACAAAAGCTGTCAGGCCTGGGCAGGGAGGGTGGCCAGGCCATGCATTCAGCAGCCTTGCTTCTGGGGGTTTGTTTTGGGACCCCACTCAGGTGAGCTAAACTTGCTGCACTGTGGCTCTGATAGGATGATGTTTTGAGTAAAGCCCAAATCTCAGGTTTTCATGTCTCCCAGGCAGAATTCGTGTTAGGGAGTGGTGTCCTGTTTAGGACAGAGACGAGGGAAGGGTGAGGGGGTTCTAGGTCTATATAGTCCATTTTCATGCTGCTGATAAAGACATATCCAAGATTAGGTAATTTATAAAGAGAAAGGTTTATTGGACTCAGTTCCACATGACTGGGGAGGCCTCACAATCATGGTGGAAGGGAAAAGGCATGCCTTACATGGTGCAGGCAAAGAAAGAAAGAGAGCCAAGTGAAAAGGGAAACCCTTTATAAAAACATCAGATCTTGTGAGACTTACTACCACAGAGCAGTATGGGGGAAACTGCTCCCGTGATGCAATTCTCTCCCACCTGGCCCCTCCCACAACACATGGGGATTATGGGAGTTCATTCAAGATGAGATTTGGTTGGGGACACAGCCAGACCATATCAAGGTCATATGAGGGTTGTGCCCTAAGGAGGTGATTCCTGGGGAAGAACTGAGTGTCCTGAGGCTGCCAGGTCTGGAGGAGGAGACGCAGGGTCTGGCAAGGGCTACCCCGCAGGGACCATGGGGCCTGTGGGGGCTCAGTGGGGAGCCCTAGGAGCAGATTTCAGTTCCATTTGGAAGAGGTTTTGTTTGTTCAGAGCTGCACCCCACTTGTGAGCTGCCTGTTAAGTGAGTGAGCTCTCCATCACTGCAGGCATGCAAGCAGAGTCTGGGCAAGCCCTGCAAGGGCCTCCCAGGCTGCAGATGGCCATGGGTCCTACAGATCACATACTCCTACCGGGGCTGGGGGTGGCCTGAGCTAAGCACCCACCCAACCAAGGGCATCCAGGTGCTGTCCCCCCACCCCACAGCTGCTGGGTATGTGTTTTCAGATGTGGCTAAAGGATGGGGCTTCAGGGAGAGACCCAGTCCTCTGCCCCTGGCCACACTATCTGCTCCCTCACCATCTCTAGTGCCTTCTGACTCAAAGACTGCTCAACATCTGCTCTTTCCCAGCTCTGCGCCTCTCCCCCAGCCACTCACGTGGCTTATCCTGTGTGAAATACTCCTTCTGGCTCTCCTTTGCAGGCTTGGAGCCAAGGACAAGTCCCCCGGGGTCGGAGCTCCATGCAATGCAGTTGCAGAGTTTATGTGCCTGGCTCTGAGGGCCAAGGTGGGGCACAGGAGGAGCCACTGGCTCCTGAGGCATGGGGAGGGCTTCCTGGAAGTCAGGAATAGCCTGAGCAAAGCTATGGAGGCTGGAAACTGAAACAGAGCAGGTCAGAGTGCTGGCTGGCCCAGCAGGCCCACCTGCAGATATAGGCAGGAAGAGGTGAGGTGGGAGTGGGAGGGCTTTAAGAGACCCATTAAGGAGCTGCGACTGTTTCTTCTGTCCTGGGGAGCCACAGAGGGTCTTTGAGCAGGGAGTGCAGTTCTGAAGGTGTGAAGGGTGAGCAGGGGAGCGCTTTGTGGTCTGGGGCTGAGATGGTGTAGATATCTGCAGGGACAGGCCATTGCACAGGTAGATAGAGTGGGGGAGAGAGGATGGGACGCTGTTCCTGCTCTGTGCCAGGTCCCTGTGGGCTAGAGGTTGCTTTAGTGATGGCCTGATGCTGAGCCATGCTCCCTGGGCCTGTGTGTCCCCAACGGTGACCTACATGGATGGGAGCCTGGGGTGAGGGGAGGGGAAGCCATGAACCTGGGTTACTCGGATACCAACCTCATGAACAAAGGCAAGTGGCCCTCGGGAGCCTGTCACAGCTCTCAGGCACACTGAGTGTGTGAGAAGTAAGGCCAGAGACATCCTCATGTGCTCAGCTGGGTGGTCATCGGGGCCCTGAGATGTACTGTGGTGACTTATTCACTTCCCAAGTGATGGAATTATCCATATTCTAACTGTGGTGAGGCCTCTGATAGCCAGAAAATTCTTTCTGTCCCACCACTGCCTTGCCTGCTTTGGCTTAAGTCAATATTGGGGCAGCTGGTCAGCCATTCAGGATGAAGTACATTCTAACCTTGGGCTGTTAGGGGGAAGATGGCTTCATGGACATCCAACTTCTCTGCTGTCCCTTTCCTCAAGGACGTGGTTCTGGTCAGAACAGAGGGTTCCAGCCAACCCAGGTGAGAGCTTGGGACAGAGGTCCCCAGTGAGCCCCAGACCTGGATGGGCTGGCCCTACAGATCAGGCAGTGGGGAGGGCTCTGGGCTGGGACACACCAGATGGCCCTGGCTGGCTCCTCTTACAATGATCCCTGGCCCTGGGTTTGAGGGACGTGGGAACTACACACAACCCTGGCTCCGTCCAGTCCCTGTCACCTGTGTGATGTCACCTTGCTCGTCTGGTACACAGGGCCCTCTGCGTGGTTTCCCTGAACATGTGGCCTCTATCCTGTGGTGACCTCCCTGCCTGGGCTGTGCTGGGCGTGCAGTCATTAGTGAGCACAGCATCGAGTTCTGGAGCCAGTAGGCTTTGATTTGGGGCCTGGCTTCTTCACTTCCTGGCAAGCGAAGCTGAAGATGGGGATGGGTGGGTAGTCCCTGCTCTGTGTCCACCCTGGAGGCTGCAGCAAACACTCCATGGAATAAGGAGTACATAAGGGGAGCACAATCCTAGCTGAGGAGGGAAACAGATTCCTAGGGCTGGGGGCTTGCTGTACACAGCCCTGCGGTGCTGAGACCACCTGGCCAAGAGGGCCATTGCTCATCCCTCCCTGTGCTGCTGAGGGGCTCTGTGGGCTCAGCGAGGGAGGCAAGGTGTCTGGAGCCCAGCCCTCAAAGTCCCCTGCCATCTGGACAGAGTGGGTCTTGCCCTGACCCTCATAAATGGGGGGGCTACCTGCTTCTCCAACCAAGGAGACTAGTTGGCGGGGGCTGCTCCTCCCTGCGCCCAGTGCCTGTGCCATCTCCTGTTCCAGGCCCACATGGAGGAGGGACCAGGTGAGGCAGCCTCAGGATGGGACATGGGCATTGCCCCAATGTTGCATGAAATGGGAGATGAGGGGGTGGCCAGATAAGCCTTGAACCATGTGGATCCAGACATCACTCTGTGGGCTGGAGAGTGTGACTGTGCACTGCTTCTGACTGGGAAGGGACTGGGAGACACACCCAGAGCGGAGCACTCTAGGGTCACTCTCGGGACAGTGGGCCACTAGGGTGAGAACTGCAGGGCCCAGTTCCTAACGGCTACTGGCTCCATTCCACATGTATGCACATCACCTCCCTCGATTTCACAGCAGAGCTCACATGCCACAGACACCCTCCTTTCAGCAGCCAGGCCACAAGTGTTGCCCACCAGTGCCTGTAGCACTCAGGAGGCTGAGGTGGGAGGATTGCTTGAGCCCTGGAGGCAGAGGTTGCAAGGAGATGGGATTGCACCACTGCACTCCAGCCTGGGTGACAGGAGGAGATCTCGTCTCAAAACAAAACAACAACAAAAAATCCTGCACTTCTGGGTGGGGATAAAAGTGAGGCACCAGGGCTGGTACCTATACAGACTATCCCTGTCTCCCAATCACACTGCCCCTCTTGAGGCGTGTCTGCTGTCCTGCTGACCTAGAAGTCTCTGGCTCATGCAGGCCGCCAACAGTTCTAGGCCAGTGCCCATGCTAGTGACAAATGAGAAAGTAAGAAATACCAACCGCCTCCCCCTCCTGAAGATTATGAGGGTGAAAATCTGATTGCCCTTTCAGATTGGGCAGCACCCTGTGCTGAGCCATTTTCTCCCAAATGAGGACTTTTTTTTGAGACAGGGTCTCACTCTGTCACCCAGGCTGGAGTACAGTGGCACAATCAGAGCTCACTGCAGTCTAGATCTCCTGGGCTCAAGTGATCCTCCTGCCTCAGCCTCCCTAGTAGCTGGGATTACAGGCACGTGTCACCATGCCAGGCTAATTTTTCTTATTTTTAATAGAGATGTGTCTCACTATGTTGCTCAGGCTGATGGTGGGCACTCTGGGGCAGAGGTGTGCAAACGTTGTTCTGAGAATGACACTCCTAGGCACTTTTGTGGTCCCAGTGTGCCTGTGCCCTGGCTGGAGCAGAGGGAGAATGAGGCTTCCTGATCAGATTAGCTGGTAGGAGGTGTGAGGGGAAAGGCCTGCCGGAATTCCCAGGGGAACAGTGGGAGCCAACCTGCAGGGTGCTGCCCTGACCCAATCTGCACAGCAGTTCTGTTAGGAGCCCTCCCGTGTGAATGCTTGCAAAGCGAGTTTCACAATACGGGTGGTTTAGCCCAGATGCAGAGTCCCCAAGTGGAGGGAGCTTGAGATGAAGGGATTAGGAGAACAAAGGCGAATCTAGTTAAAAGATAACCAGATGGACGTGCATTCTTGAGGAACAATGTGCTTATGAGGAACAAGGTGGCCATGAGGAACTATGTCCTTGCGCAAGCTCCAAAAATAATCATTACCCTTTAGAATCACTGACTGTGTATCTGTCATCTATATTGAGAGTGGCACATAATTTATCTACTTGTTTTTCTTCTTGGAAAATGCATATATACTGAGTCTCTGAGAAATAAAGTTGTTGTTGGAGCACTGACTCCTCAACCCTCCTGACCCTGCTTATCTGTCTCCTTTTCTTCTTGTGCACCCCCCACTCAGGTTGAAATCCTCTTGCTGGTCGAGAGTTCCAGGCACAGTTCTGTAGGAGCAAGCTGAGCCCTCCCAGCTGCTGCTCTGTTCATTCCTATCCTGCCAGAACTGACATGCCTGGCCACCCAGGGGTCATCTAAGGTCCCTTTATGTCTCTGCTGTGATCCTATCCTTCTCCCAGATGGAGCAGTGCTGCTCTGAGGGCCCACATGGTGGTGACTCTATCCTTGGTGCTGACCTCATGGTGGGCTTGCCCAGAGCTGGGGGTGCTTCTGCCAGCTCAGATCTGTCCAGCCCCTGCAACACCTGGATTCTAATCTCACGTCTCCTACCTGCAGCAGGCAGAAGGGCCCTGGACAAGTCTCTTCCCTAGTTTGGGCCTCAGTCCTCCCATATGTAGTATCTGTCAGCTTAGGGGAAAAAAATCCCAAAAATTCTCCATAACAGTTCCCCATGAGGAAAAGGTTTTTTGTTTTGTTTTTGAGATGGAGTCTTGCTGTGTTGCCCAGGCTGGAGTGCAATGGCATGATCTCACTGCAACATCTGCCTCCTGGGTTTAAGTGATTCTCCTCTCTTAGCCTCCCAAGTGGTTGGGATTACAGGTGTGAACCACTGTGCCTGGCCTGAGGGAAGGGTTTTTAGCAGCCAAGAGAACCAGGTTGTAGTAGCTGAGACTTGGGGAAAGAAGGGTCCCACAGCAACTATGCAGGTCTCATCTATCTGGGGCACTGGCTGGTCCATTTCTTTCTTCTTGTGTTTACCCAACTGCTATGGAATAAAGGGTACCCAGGCTGGTGGCCAAGGACCACCCATGTAAGCAGTCTGGTTTCCTGGAACAGACTTGATCAGGGTGGCAAGAACCTCCAAGAACATGCCTTGGTGCCTCCTTTTATAGGTGGGGAGACTGAGGCCAAGTGAGGGGTGGGCCTTGCACCCGGGGCCACTCAGCATCTGCAGCCCCTGGGACTCCGTATCAGGGTCATGTTTTACCGATTGGATGGAACCTGTTGTAACCCTGCTGTGTCAGAGGGCTCGCTGTTGGGGTCTTTGGCCAGGTGGCACAGGTAGGGGGGTGGTCTTGGAACAGGGTGGGCACTTCATGGTTAGGCAGTTGCCAGGCCTCACTGGATGCCTCTGTGGCTTCTGTACCCTGGCCTGTGGATGGGAAGCTGCCAGGACCATGGTCCCCTACAGAGGAGCCTGCAGTCTTGGGGTTCATCAGTCTGCATGGGACTCACTTGATCTGCTTGGTTTACTCCAGGGAAGCCTGGGCAGAATTCTCCAGGGAAGCTGGGGGTGGGGCAGCAGTCCCCATGAAAGAGGCCAAATTAGTAAGGGGACGCAGGGGCATCAAGATGCTGGGACAGTGACCTGAGCTGGAGGGGTTAGCTCCAGGGACCTCTGTCTGGGATATACACTTACTCCCTAGAGATGCCAAAGATGAGCTGGCCTTGGAGATATCCCTGGTCCCTCTTGTCCCACCTGCCCACTTCTGAAAGCCCAACACCCTCTCATTAGCTCAGGGAGGCTGCCTGGAGGTGGAGTCCTTTAAGAGAAGGAGGAAGCAGAGCCTGGGAAGAACCGGGCCTGGGAAGAACCTGTCCTGGGGACACATACGCCTTCCTGCCAGGATAGCCTGGGCAGGGGAGGGCAGGCCTGTTTCTTCCTTGGGAGATGCCGAGCCCTGAGCTGGAGCTCAGGTCCCTTTGGAGACCACTTCTCACCTGAGGCTTTGTAGAAACAGTGAGAGGGGTCTGCTCCTGTGCCAGCTTTCAGTGGGGGACAGAATTTTCTCTTTCATGTTAGAGTGGGAGAGGAAGTCAAACAGGCATATATAAGTACCAATTTCTTCTAATTTCCTGTTACACTGGAATACTTCTAAAACTACTAATAGTTGGGTAACAAGAAAAAAGTTATCTGGTTGATGTAGGTATTATTTATTATGTAACAATTAGTTCTGAGACAAAATTCAATTCAAAACATATTACTGAGGATTCTATATTAGTATATTTTAGAAATGCTGTAATACAAACCTGATTTTCCAATACATTTTCTTACATAACATTTAAGGAATTTTTCACTATCATTATTTGGCTCTGGAAAATCTTTACAGGAGACATTTGTTACACTAGAAAACAAAATTGAAGTATGGTTGTTATGCACGGTTAAAAGGGATGATACGCACAAACTATAATAATTACAAATCAGTGCTTCTTTTGAATACACATTTGAATGTAAACTTTTTAAATAATCAGTGTTTTAGACAAATATAAAACATACTTCAAGAACTGATTTTAACATCTCTTTTACTTTCTAAGGCTCTTTAGAAAAAATTCCTTTCTGATTCATTCAGCAGCAAGGGCCCAAAAATGATGTTCCAAACCAGGATTCACCTTGTCCTCTTCCCAAATGATCTGAAGAGGTTCTGGATTGGTTAAAGACATTGCCCAAAGGAATCTTAGGGTAAATCTGAGCTAAAAACACTGAATCCAGAGATCAAATCTCTCGGCCATGCCAGAGTCACCATCAACCACTTGGGGTTAAATTACATTGCTATGAATGATGGAAGGTGACTCTGAGGGGCTTTAACCATGCCGGGGCTGATGAAAGGATTTCAAACATCAGTAAGAACAGTAAGATCATGGCTGAGAAGGGTGACAAGAAATCCTGGAGGGTGTGAACCATTTTACACCTGATTCTATTTCCTAGAGCTCTTTGGGAAACAAGCAAGAATTTTCCTGGATGGTGTTGGCCATGAAACAAATGAGTCACCTCATTAAATGATTCAAAAACATTTCCTGCTGGTTTCATACTACCAACAGTTGAAATATTTTAATGGATAGGAGAAATTACGGGTTTAAAATTAAATTCTGTCACTGAAGATGTTTTAATAAACTGGTTATCAGACTGCTTATGACAATGTCAGTACCATACATTCAACTGCTTTTAGTCCTTCTAGTCTTTCTCCTGGCAAAATCTGTGGTTATCTACTTTTTGCTACCTATCAATCACCTGTTTTGGACATTAACTGTCAATTACTGGCTGCAAAATATATGTGTGTGTATATACATGAGATGTAACTATACAGATGCATGTTGAATTATAGACATGAGTTCTATTATTTCAGAGCTATACTCTGACTATGAGATCTGTTTATATTTACACACATATACCTGTCCAGCCCCAACATTCATTCATATAAAAATATATGACTATTGTAGAATCTTTCATTTGCCTATCACTAAAAATATGTTATTTCATTCTAACATCTTTTTATTTAGCCTTGCCAATCAACATCATAAGACTGGAATATAAAATATTTTTATTATTTATTTAAAATTATTATTATTATTTTTTGAGACAGGGTTTTGCTCTGTCGCTCAGGCTGGAGGGCAGTGGCTCACTGTAGCCTTGGCATCCTGGGCTCAAGTGATCCTCCTATCTTAGCCTCCCTAAGTAGTTGGGACCACAGGCATGAGCCACCAAGCCTGGCTTATAAAACCTTTTTAAAATACATTTCCTAGCAGAAACTAATTTATTTTAAAAGTCTACTTTTAAAGCAGCAGTTAGAAACTTTGTTCTTATAATATGTAAATAATACTGTTATATCAAATTGTGGATTTAAATCTTTTTAATTTAAGTTCCTTTCTTATCTCTTCAAAAAATAAAGAGATAAAAATTTTTATCTCACTCTGTCACCCAGGCTGGAGTGCAATGGCATGATCTTGGCTCACTGCAACCTCTGTCTCCCAGGTTCAAAATTTAAAAATAAATTCTGTGTTACTTAATGGCTTCTCCATTCTTCCAATTCCAAGGAATACAAAGGTCTCCGTCTTGCATAACAGAGTAAAAATGTGAAACGCAGAGGTGCATCCCATGTAGGTAAGGCAGTGATTGTTCTAGAAGTCTCTTACAACAATCCACCATTTGTATACTAGAAATGCTGGGTTCTTTATATAACTTCTCCAGAGAAAATTTCTTTGTTGACGCCTCTATCAATTCATTTTCAATAACCTTTAACCTATTATATAGAGAACAAAAATATTGCCATAAGCTATAACCAAATAAATTAACACACAATGTAAATATAGTCTTAAATACTGGGGCTATAAGTGCACTCACAACACTGAAAATGCCACCCACAAAGGCCAAATTAAACATTTGGAAGGCATGCCGAAAGCCATCATGCATTAAATCTTTTAAGTTACTGCCACATGGAACTCTAAAAGTATTTGTTAATCTTTTTAGCAGTAAAGGGCTAAAAATGACATAAAATTTAAAAAGCTCTTATATTGCCTTACCTAGAAGCTGTCAGTGACTGAAGAAAGCAGAAAACGAAGAATATAAAACCTCTAGCTTTAGGAGCCACCTAAAGTTTTACCCTTGGGCAGTAACGCCATCTAAAGATTTCCCAGATAAACAGCAGACTCACAGCAAAACAGGATCCTGAGGAGGACAGGTTCTCTTCACTCTGACTCTCCTATCTCACCAGCCCCCCTGTCTGTTCCCTCCCCTCTGCCTGAAGTTACAACTCTCTTATTCCAGCAGGGGCTTCAGTTCAGGTCTACAAAGTATACAACTCTAGGCAGAACTCAGTGTCTCAAATACTTTCTCCCACAGGTGGCAAGTGCCTAGGGATACAGTGCTGTGGTAAGTGAATTCAATGTGCTACATCTAGACCAACAGAGGAGTTACTCAGCAAGTCCATTTAACAAAGTGAGTCAAGCAAAACTGCCATGGTCATGTCTCTGAACCAGCCTATTTTAAATACTTCATTGGTCCATATAGCTTATATTTAATCACCCTTAAACTCTGCATAGAAAAGTAGGTACTATAAAATTTCCATAAACTAGACAGTAAAAAGCAGAAATGGTCAGAGCAGTTAGTTATCCTGGCCTATAATAATGAATCCCTTCCTCTAACGATACCCTGGCTCACTTCTCAGGTGCGTTTGCTTTTTTTGTAAGATTACTCCCCTACACAGTGCTGCTTAGAGATTTAAGAAAGACAGAGAGCAGTCAGGGCTGACGGTTCTGAAAATGCTCCAGCTGGGCCTGCTTCTAATCTCTCCAGGATTAGACAGAACTCTTAAACTTTTATCAATAGCAGGGGATGAGTAACTTTTTTCTTTTTTCACTTGTCAAGAAAAGAGATACTAACAACTAGGCTTAGAAATGAAAAGCCTTGCAGTGTGACCATGTTGCTACATAGTTCTCCAACAGTACATCTTTTTTGTTGTTGTTGTTGAGATGGAGTTTCGTTCTTGTTACCCAGGCTGGAGTGCAATAGCGCGATCTTGGCTCACCGCAACCTCCGCCTCCTGGGTTCAGGCAATTCTCCTGCCTCAGCCTCCCGAGTAGCTGGGATTACAGGCACGCGCCACCATGCCCAGCTGAATTTTTGTATTTTTAGTAGAGACGGGGTTTCACCACGTTGACCAGGATGGTCTCGATCTCTTGACCTCGTGATCCACCCGCCTCGGCCTCCCAAAGTGCTGGGATTACAGGCGTGAGCCACCGCGCCCAGCCTCCAACAGTACATCTTTAAAATCTGGGCAAGACTCTCATTCTCATTCCTTTCAGGAGAAGCCTACAGTCTCATCCCTGGGTTTCCCAGACTCATGGGTCACAAGCTTTATATCAGGAGAATCCATCTGTTCTTCTGGGGTAAAATCTTAGAGAAGCATCTAGTCCTGAGAAGGCAGCCCTTGGTAAGGTTTCCCAGGGCTGTCCTCTCAAAAGGAAAATAATGTGTACCAGCCTCTCCTCATCCTTGGGTGCCTCTGCAGTCTGCAGATTAAAAGATTTTTTTTTTTTTTTCTGAGACAGAGTCTCACTCTGTCACCCAGGCTGGAGTGCAGTGGCACGATCTTGGCTTACTGCAACCTCTGTCTCCCAGGTTCAAGCGAGTCTCCTGCCTCAGCCTCCCAAGTAGCTGGCATTACATGCATGCACTACCATGCCAGATATTTTTGTATTTTTAGTAGGGACAGGGTTTCGCCATGTTGGCCACACTGGTCTTCAACTCCTGACCTCAGGTGATCCGCCCACCTTGGCCCCCACAAAGTGCTGGGATTACAGGTGTGAACCACTGTGCCCAGTTTAGGAAATATTTAAAATACTTTTAAAAATTATTTTTTGATTTTCCTTATAATTTCTTTGCTTTATTATATTAATACTTGAGAGAGAGAGAGAGGAGACAGGCTGAGAACACACAAGAGAAACACTGTAATGTGGGTGTCTGTGTGAGTACAGGGATTGTGGAACAGGCCTGGAACCAGAAGAGAACTTCTGTTCTGTTGGTGAGAAGTTTTCTTCCAATGTTAAAAAATAGGCCACACATTTCCTAGGGGGAAATGAACCTCCTTTCTCTTAACAAAAGTTATATTTTAAAAATGTATTTATTACTTATTTATATTATTTTTACAGATAGGGTCTTACTCTGTTGCCCAGGTTGGAGTGAAGTCATTGCAGCCTTGAAGTCCTAGGCTCAAGCGAAGCTCCCACTCAGCCTCCTGGGTAGCTGGGACCGCAGATGCACACCAACATACTTAGCTAATTTTAAACTTGTCTGTAGAGACAGGGTTCCCCTGTTGCCCCGGCTGGTCTTGACCTCCTGGCCTCAACAACCTCAGTCTCCCAGAGAACTAAGATTACAGGTGTGAGCCACTGCACCCAGCCTATTTTCTAATATATATTTTTTAAAACACTAAGTTTAACGATTCTACCTTTAACATCAGAATGTGAGTTCCAAAAGGGTATTTGTCCTGTTTGTCTGTATCAGCACTAGTGACTTTTTACGTGCTTGGTAGGCATATAAGTACTCATCAAATATTAGTTGAATGAATAAATGAACATTTTTTAAATGGTTGTTTTTCATGTTTCTTTTTGAGACAGAGTCTCACTCTGTCACCCAGGCTGGAGTGCAGTGGCACAATCTCTGCTCACTGCAACCTCCGCCTCCTGGATTCAAGCAATTCTACCTCAGCCTCCTGAGTAGCTGTGATTACAGGCGCCGACAACCATGCCAGGCTAATTTGTGTATTTTTAGTAAAGACGGGGTTTCACCATGTTGGCCAAGCTGGTCTCAAACTCCTGACCTCAGGTGATCCACCCACCTCAGCCTCCCAAAGTGCTGGGATTACAGGTGTGAGTCACTGCACCTGGCCTTGAGGTAGGGTCTTGCTGTTGCTCAGACTGGAGTACAGGGGTGTGACCATGGTTCACTGGAGCCTTGACAACCCAGGCTTAAGCAAACCTCCTGCCTCAGCTTCTCAAGTAGCCGAAACTACAGGTGCACACCACCATACCCAGCTAATTTTAAACTTTTTTGTAGAGATGAGGTCTTACCATATTGCCCAGGCTGCTCTTCAACTCCAGGGCTCAAGTGATCCTCCTGCCTCAGTCTCCCAAAGTGCTGGGATTATAGGTGTGAGCCACCATGCCCGGTCTTTAGTCACTGTTTCTACTACATGCAAGTATCAGAACTACTTAAATATTCTTTTATTACTGTACATTTTGATTGCTTCCAACTTATCGAAGTGATTTTAAAATTTGAAATGTATGAAACAGAGTAAAAGGAAACGTCTGAGTGGGTTACTATAAAAACATAAAGGAGTGTCCCTGTTAGAGAGAGGTGGTTGATTCTCAGGCACAGGTTACCCTGGGTTATTACTACCCTACAGAAGAACTATGAACTAGCTTATCACCAGCCTCCAAAGGACTAGGGGTTCCACAGGCAGCAAACACTGTCCACATGCCAGCCAGGCAATGCTAAGAGACAGGAGCTACAAGTCACACAGTCTTGGGATGGGCATGTGGGTTGTACATACTAGCTTAGGATAGTGTTGTTTTTGTTTTCCTTTTTTTTAACTGTTCAGCAAGCTGAGGGTCCTGCAGAGCTACTCAGAGGACCCTGTGAGTACGGGTGGCCTCTAGTTCCTTTTCTCTTGAACTAGAACAGCTGAGAGCTTTAATCTTATCAGGTTGATGCGAAAGTAATTGCAGTTTTTGCCATTTTTTTAATGAACTGAAACTTAAGAATCCACCTTATAAGTTAAAAAGTATCTGAAAACCACTCTCTAGGAACATGCTTCATCAAAGGAAAGAAGTTAGTCTTCATCACTACTCTGCAAATATAATGAAGGTGTCTTACTAGGGCAGGGACAGCAGAGTAAAGGAAGGGGAGACTCCAAAGCGGAGGAGAGGCTCCTGGGCCCAGAGTCAGGGGCACCACAGTGATGACTGAGCCGGAAGGAAGGCTGGGACCAGCAAGTGCTTCCTCTTCTTAGGCACTAAATATAGGGATGAGGACTCTGGGGTCCAGAGCCAGAAAGAGGCTAAGGAAGCAGGTGAAAGGTCAACAGGTATTTCCTGAAGGATCCCTGTGTGCCAGGCACCCAACCCACCTGGGCCTGGCACTAGAGGGCACAAAATAGTCTGCCCTCAGCGGGTTTACCTTCTGTTGGGCGGGAGAGAGAGAGAGGATACATTAAGGAGGAAACAGCAAATTGGCCAAGGTGGATAGAGAAAGGCACGCCAGCTGAGGTGGAGAGGAAAGTACAGCAGAGGGTAGGGGTTCCATGCTGCAAGTTGTGTGGCCAGAGAAGGCGGAATGTGAGCAGGGCCTGAGGAAGCTGAGATTTCTGAGGAAGGAGCGCCCAGGCTGGGGGAAAGCACACAGGCCCAGGAGTGGGTACACACCCAGAGTGCTCGAGGAGGATAAAAAGGCTGGAGCAGAATGAGTGAGAGGAGACTCCCAGTAGCTGAGCTGAGAGAAGCAGGGGAGCGGGCAGAGGGCCTTGTTGGCACCAGGCAGAGGAGTGACAGCTCCAACTAGCTTCCCACTTCTGCTCTGAGAACAGTCTACTTCGGGTTGAGGAGGTGCTGGGTGTGGAAGCCTGAAGACCAGACAAGGGGCCATCAAAAAATGATGGAGGCTCAGACCAGGTACGGCAGGAAAGGAAAGAAGCGGCGAGTTTTTTTCAGGTGTGCTCTGAAAGGTGGACTGGGGTCGGGAGTGAGATGGGAGATGAATCAAGACGATCATGGGTTTTTATTCGCCTGGGCAACTGACAAGATGGAACATTCAGAAATTGACATATCTGAATTTTATTTCTTTTCACTTTCCTTTCTCACAGTCTAATAGCATTACTCCAAAGCTATGAAATGGCCATAGAGAAAAATAGGAAAAGCAGCCGATAGGTTATAGCAAACAAAATAATCAGTCCTAATGATGAACAGTTGGCTAGAATTGCCTTGAGGGTTAAAGCAGATGTAAAATTTAGAAAAGAAATAGCAGGAACAAATACTTAACAACCAATGAAGAGGTAGGGTGTGATAGGATCTGGCCTACTGAGTTGTCATCAGTTCCATAAGGAAAAAAAAGGGATGCTGCTCCTTCATTTATTTTATACATAAAATTATCCCACTGTCTCGTGCTAAAAGGATGGCTTTCATGGTTAGTTGCCATCTCTTCTCTCTCCTTATTTATTTTTCAGAGACGGAGTCTCACTCTGTCGCCCAGGTTGGAGTGCAGCGGCCTGATCTCGGCTCATTGCAACCTCCACCTCCTGAGTTCAAGTGTTTCTCCTGCCTCAGCCTCCTGAGTAGCTGGGATTACAGGTGTGTGCCAGGACGCCAGCTAGGTTTTGTATTTTTAGTGGAGACAGGGTTTTGCATGTTGGCCAGGATGGTCTCAAACTCCTGACCTCAAGTGATCTCCTGCCTCGGCTTCCCAAAGTGCTGGGATTACAGGTGTGAGCCACCGCACCCAGCCTCTCTCTATATTTAAAATTCCTGGCTTTTTAAATGAGCACTTTGTGGAAACTGAGCCTCACATAAACAGTAAGGCAGAAGAACTGCTTTCACCAGCACCCTGCTAAAAAACCCGGTCCCGTAACGCTGTCCTCTTGTCTCCTTGAAACATCCCTCCATGGACATGTGCAATGGCATCCTCTCCAGCTTCCATCCTGTTCCCTGATATTGCCTTCCCTTGTCCCCTGTGCTCCCAGGGTGTCAGCTTTAGCTCTTCCCACTTGACTGTGCTCCAGTGACCACTGACAAAGTTACATCACTCACATCTCCTACTAGAAATAATTCCAGGAGGCAGAGACCATGTCTGAGTCTTTCTATCAACGGCACTGGGACTACAGGCACATGTTGCCAGCCTGGCTAATTTTTTTTTCATATTTTAGTAGAGATAGAGTTTCATTGTGCTGCCAAGGCTGGTCTCAAACTCCTGAGCTCAGGCAATCCACCCACCTTGGCCTCCCAAAGTGCTAGGATTACAGGCGTGAGCCACTGAGCCTGGCCTTTTTTTTTTCTTTTTTTGAGATTGAGTCTCGCTCTGTCGTCCAGGCTAGAGTGCAGTGGCGTGACCTTGGCTCACTGCAGCCTCCGCCTCCTGGGTTGAAGCCATTTTCCTGCCTCAGCCTCCTGAGTAGCTGGGACTACAGGTGACTGCCACAACACCTGGATAATTTTTGTATTTTTAGTAGCGATGGGGTTTCACCATGTTGACCAGGCTGATCTCAAACTCCTGACTTCAAGTGATCTGCCTACCTCGGCCTCCTGAAGTGCTGGGATTACAGGTGTGAGCCAATGCACCTGGCCTAAGATGATTTTTTACTTTAAGGTTTCTTCTCAACTTAATTAAGATACAGATAAAGTTCTTTTTATATCAATAGTTAAAAAAAATTTAAACAATAAAGATCGCTGTTAATGAAGTAATAATCAGTATTTTTCCTTGTTGCCAGTCTTTTCCATCTGGAAAATTCCTTGCTGATATTCTTATTTTTCATTCTGTTCCTGAATTGACTTTTATATTAAGAAGCTGTCCTTCTCAAACTGAGGTCCATGGTGGTAACATAATTTAGGTTATTATACTTATAAAACATGTAATCTCTCGCAGGTAGGGAATATGTAAATATGGAATATCTACAAATTAGTCAATTTCCTAAGCTTCACACAGTTTCCAAGTCCCATATTTATAAGTTCCAAATATCTGTCAGTTAGACTGAATGAAGTGACTTTACAGAGGACTGGCAGTACTTACTCTTCCTTTCTTTTCATGTTCTCTCTTGCCTGCTGAGCTTTGGTGAGAATAAACCACTGGAGATTTGCTGGATCGCAGAGTGCTGGAATATTAAAATGCCCGAGTTCATGCAAGCTTGGAGCATATCTGTCACTGCAATAAAATATACATTAAAGGAAAAACTGTTGACCCTCTCGTCTCCCCCACCAGGGAGAATTTTTATTAGTCTTTGGGAAAATTTAAAATAAAAATCATCGAGAAAAGCCACCTCGAAAGTACAGCAAATGCGGATTAAAGCTTTGCTGCCCCTGAAGACACACTTCTTCAGGATTGTGACATGCTTGCAAGCCCTCCGATCTTTCTTATCTATCACATGCCAGGGGTGACCTGCTGCACAGTGAGGTTGTGAGAGTTAAAGACAGAATGCGTGTAAATACCCAGCATAGTTCTCGGCAACAGCGTATACACCACAAATGTTGGCTACCAATTTAATATTAGCTTAATCTTATAATGTTTTCCACTGGATTGACTTTGCTCAGTAAATCCGTTCAGCAATATATTCAAAGAACGTTCTAGACATTGAATCCTTCAGTCCTCCTATGCTGGTGTTTCTAGTATGTAGAAGAGGGTTGCTAACACAAGTAGTGGCATTCTTTTAATCCCTCAGAACTACACATCAAAATAGAAAACAATTTAATGCATTTACACACGCAACCCACCTAAGGGAAGGAATTGAATAATCCTTCTATCTTAGATATTTACCTGTTAAGGATCATTTGTAAACCACGTAAACTTCGAGGGTGAAAAGGTATTCTATTTTTCAACAGTCTGTTATAAAACACATCAAGAAGAGAGTAATATTCTTCAAGTGTCAATACTGGCTGTAATTCTTCAATATAAACAACTTGTATGCCACCTAAAAGATAGCTTATTTGGTCTTCTAAAAGCATCAGCCTCCTCTGAAGGTCAAAATAACTTGGCAATCTTTCAAAAAGCTACAGTATTAAAAAAAAAAAGGAAATAATTAATTTTATGTTACCATAATGATTTGATTTTAGAATTCCAATAAATGGCATTAAGACATTTTAACAAGAAAATTACTTTCATAGAAGGAAAGTTCAAGTAAGAGATTAAAAAAAGGACAATGTAATGCTGGAAATATTAATATTCAAAACAAGCCACTGTAAATTTTTTTTAAAAAATTTATTTATTTTACTTTAGGTGAAATGTAAATCAAAACCACACTGAGATATCACCTCATGCCAGTTAGAATGGTGCTCATTAAAAAATCTGGAGACAACAGATGCTGGAGAGGATTTGGAGAAATAGGAACACTCTTACACAGTTGGTGGGAGTATAAATTAGCTCAACCATTGTGGAAGAGAGTCTGGCGATTTCTCAAGGATCTAGAAATAGAAATTCCATTTGACCCAGCAATACCATTACTGGGTATATACCCAAAGAACTATAAATCGTTCTTCTATAAAGACACATGCACACATATGTTCATTGAAGCCACTGTAAATCTTTGGGATTTTTAGATGGGAATTTGTGAGGTTCCAAAAAAATAACAATATGCTCCAAATAATGTAAGTCTTAATCCTAAGCACTAATATTTAAATATTTAGATAAGAATCTTAAATTGGTTTAGAATTATTAAATGGTATAATAAAGGTTTTAGAAATAAAGTCTATGTATTTCAACTCAGTGTATTCCTTGAAAATTTACTTTAAAGCAACTAAATGTAATTAAATGCAATAAATACGACTGTGCACCTACCACGTATGTAAGCACTGAGCTGGGCACTTGAAGTGTACAGAATATAAGAGTTTGTCCCTGTTTGGCTGGGACTCACAGTTGGGGTACAAGGACACAAAAATCCAAATTTAGCATACTAAATGCCACATCAGGGTGAGTGGATACAGAGGAGGTTTGGGCAAAGGTTTCTAAGGGAGTCTAATTAGACCAATCTTAAACAGTAAGTAGGATTTAGAAATGGCACATGAATGTGGGGGATGTTTTGTAGGGAGAAAAAAGAGCATGTGCAAATATGGAACCAAGAAAGGAACAGCCATGTTTGGAAACAGTAAGGAGTTTGGTTGGCTGGCACGTGACCTGCTGCAAGTGAGTGAAAAGAGAAGGGCTGAGGGAGAATGTAGAGGCTGATCAGGGGAGGACCACTAAGGACTTAAGATTTTCTATTAAAATCCAGGGCCTTTTAGAAGAGTTGGAAGGCATTAAAACCTCTGCTATAATAAAAGCAATAGCTATGTAAAAATTCTACAAATTATTTATAATCTACTTTTAACACCTTGTGGAAAATAATTTTACTCCCTATTTTTCAATTTTCCTCTCTATGGGTTTTACTCATATACATATGGTAACTACATTTTAAAAACTTTTTGAGATAACTGTAGATTCATATACCTTTCACTCAACCATACATCTTATACAATTATTGGTATAATACCACAACCAGGAAATTGACATTGATACAATTCATTAATCTTACTCAGAGTTCATCAGTTTTACTTGCATGCATTTGTGTGTGTATTTAATTTTCATATGCGTATTCACTGTATTGTATGTATATATAATATATAATTTTGACTGTGACACTGCCATAGTCAAAACACACACGAGTTCCATTACAGGGATCCCTTTTATAACACCAACACCTGTGTTCCCCTGCTCTCTACCTCCTGGCAACCACTAATCTGTTTTTCTTTTCTATGATTTTATTATTCCAAGGATGTTATGTAAATAGAATCATACAGTTTGTAACTTTTTGAGACTTCTTCACTCAGTGCAATGCCCTTGAGATCCATCCAATTGCTGCATGTATCAATAGCTCATTCCTTTTCATTGCTGAGTAGGATCCTATGGAATGGATGTACCAGTTTGTTTAGCTATTCACACACTGAAGGACATTTGTTTTTTTCCTAGTTTTTGGCTACCATGAACATTCATGTACAGGTGTTTGTGTGAACATAATTTTTCATTTCTCTGCTGTAAATGCCCAAGGGAAACTGCTGGGTCACATTTGGTTTTGTAAGAAACCATTATAGTCTTTTTTTCAGAATGCCTATACCACTTTATATTCCCATCAGCAATGTATGAGTGACCCATATTTTTCTGCATTCTCACCAGCATGAAACTATTTTTCATTTTAGCCATCCTGATAAGTGTGTAATGATAATGCACTATAGTTTTAAATTGCATTTCCCTAATGGCTAATGATAAATATGTTTTGTTTTTTTTTTGAGATGGAGTCTCGCTCTGTTGCTAGGCTGGAGGGCAGTGACGCGATATTTGCTCACTGCAACCTCCGCTTCCTGGATTCAAGTGAATCCCTTGCCTCAGCCTCTT